GTTTATGACCATCCAGTAGAATTTTTTTGTTTGTTTGGTGTTTGGGACATCTTATTGTTATTAATCTGCACTACTTACAGAGGTGCAGCACATTATTTGCTGTTGTTACCATTCTCAGATGTTCACTCACAGATGTTCAAAGATTGGCTTTATAAATACTGACGATAAAATACAATTAATAGTGAAAACTTTAAAAAAATTTTAATAATAAATTTAGTAAAAAAACTTTCAAAAGAAAAAGAGACAGAGGACCAGTTTATGATGAAGATACCACAATGGAACCACTCTGCTGTTTTATTTGGATTTTAGGTTACAGCTGTACTTAATAAAAAAAGTTTTAAAAGGGCCCATCTCAAAATTCTGGAAAAGATGATGTAGAATTGATGATCTTTCTATCTGAAATGTTTGGAAGATTTTACTAGTGAAACCATCTGGACCTGGATATACAAATTAAATTCATTTAATACTTATAAGACTTTGTCTCTTCGCTGTGCTGCAGAGGTCTCTCTGGTACACCCCCAACCTCCACCCACCTCTGAAAAAACCTCTTGAACTGGCTCAGCCTTTACTCTGTTAGGGCAAAAATAGCAAAGTTCTTTTCCCTCTATAAGTACCCAAGGCCTCACTTTATCAGTAGCCATACAATGGCCAAAAAGTGCTCAGCTTTCTTTCAGAAAACCCATCATGCTACATACAGGGAGCTGTGATGACTTACTGCCAAGAAGCTGTGCTGTAATCCTCAAAGCACGTGGTTCAGATCTACCAGATGCTCCACTGGAGAAGGAGGGAAAATCTCCTCTTGTGCCAGTCGGATCTGATTCGGTGGTACGCAACAACAACAACAAAATCCATCATGCTGCCTCCATTCTATCTAATAAAAAACGACAATTTATCCACTACTTCTTTGGACCATCTCTCACCAGCTCTCTTTACAGTCCTGTCTGTCTCTGTGTCTTGGGTCCTGGAGCTTCCCAGTATAGGGATCTGGATCCAAGGATGTGCGTGTGTGTGTCTGTGTCTGTGTCCTGTCTGTCTCTGTGTCTTGGGTCCTGGAGCTTCCCAGTATAGGGATCTGGATCCAAGGATGTGCTTCATTCCCATCTCTTCTTAATAGTCATAAAGTCCTCTTTTCCACTTGGAAGATGGCTCATTTTAAGACTGGTGCATTGGAAAACTGACCAATCTCCTTTTTAGTGTTCTGTATACCTTCTTTGCATGGTCCCATCTCCAGCAGACAGATTTGTTTGTTCTTTTGGCCATCCATGATAATATTCTATATATACCTCTTTGCCAATACCACAGTTTAAAGGCATCAGTTATTAAGGCTCCCTTATTTGCTATCCACATTTCACATGCATTCAGTGCACTTGAAAAATGCCTTAGAGGGCATTTTGCTGAGTGAAATATCTAAATCACAAAAGGACAAATACTGCACAAATGACAATGCCACTGTTATAAAACAGGACTGACATGAGGGGTTGGGGGGAAACTAAGAAAAGGGGATAAATAATGAACAGTGCATTGGAACAGATGAGAGAAAGAACTATTTAAAAAGAATATATCATTAGGCATTATTTGCATGACAGCAGTCCAGAATAAGAGGTACATAGCAACATGGACTGGGGTTGGGGGGAGGGAGCAAATTGGGCAACAATGAATGAAACTTTAAGAAAAAAATGAGCTAGGTGGGTGGGGTTCGGGAGGAAAATGTGCAACAGTGAATTAATAGAAATCCAAGTTTCCTGTAAACTTTGTTAAAATCACAATTTAAAAAATCTTTATAAAAATATAAAATTCTTTAGCTTGGCTTGGATCCACTTTAGTCTTTAAACTGGCATTTTTGCTCTTCATACTTTAAAGAAATCCTTGACAGCAGATTTCCCAATGCTGCTGTATACCTTTTGATTCCTTGATTGCTGCTACCATGGGTTTTGATTACACATCCAAATAAAATTAAATTCTTGACACTTCAATCTCTTCTCTATTTATCATCATGGTGCCTGTTGCTCTAGTTGTAAGGATTTGTATTTCTGGATGCTGAGGTATAAACTATACTGAGAGCTGTAATCTTTATCTTCTTCAATAAATGCTTCAAGCCCTTGTCACTTTCAGCAAGCAAGGTTTGCAGGGGAAAACCCAAACACCTAACCATAAATCTGTCTTGAAAGATGTGTCACCAGGGTACTTCTTAGAGGCAAAGAATATGATGCTTCAGCTCACGTACTCTGGGCACATTATCAGGAGGGAACAGCCCTGGGGAAAGAGCATCATGCTGGGAAAGGTAAAAGGTCAGGGAAAGAGAGGAACATCTCAGCTTGATGGATCAGCTCAGTGACTGCCCCCGTGGGCTTAAGTACTGCAGCAATCAGGGATTCGGTCTGTTGCTAGTAGTCAGAGTCAACTCAGTGACACCTAAGGGCAACAACTCTACAAGGATGCCATACACCTTAGTTAGTACCTTGTGGTCTAATCCCCTTGTGGGCTACAAGCACCCATAGTCTTACATATCTGCCTAAAAGGACTGTAATAAGTAATTCACTGCTCTGCACTATGCCAAGTAGTGCGAATTGTATTCTGGACATGTATTACATTATTAGACCCTGAGCCTATGAATGTTAATATATTTGTGGGTTTTTAAATAAACATTTTTATCATTCATATACATTGAATTTCACATATGCATATTGTGCTTTATACAGTCTTTCATTTACATTCTATTTTGTTCATGTATATTGTAGATTTTTTCCATTTGCAAACATCTTACTAATAACTGCATTCAACAAAACATGTAAACTAGTTCCTTTATGCCTCCTGCCCTGATATCTCCCATTTAGATAGCAAATTTCTGATTTGCTCATCCCTCTCAAACCAATACTGTGAGGAAGCAAGCATAGCCCCTTTGCAGAAGAATCTTCTCTTCATCTTGGAAACGTAGAGTATCTGTATCCACCAGCAAAGTCCAGTCCAGAGCAAGCCGTCAGATTGCAGCTGACACTAGCTTACTGCACAGATCTCTTCATCTGGTTGAGTTCTGGTCAACTCATCCTCCGCCATCCATGGCTAGGATCAAGTGGGCATCAGCTGCAAGCTCAGGAGTCCGTACTTCTCCCTGTGTTCTAGACCTGTTGGCCTCCTCACTCAGCCCTAGCCTGCCCATGTGAGGCCAAGTCAGCAAGCCAGGGGTCCTCACGACTCCTTGCTCCGCAAGCCAATAACCGGTCCCCTGCCTATCCACACATCCAGGCTCCACCTGTTCTCCATTGTTGAATTGTTTTCCTCCCACGTGCACTCCTGTAGGTCCAGGTGATCACTGCAAGAATACTCCTACCCCAGGTCTTGGAAGTGGACTCTGATGGCTCTAACGTCACCTTGCCTCAGAAGCCAGACGGTGTGCTCCCATTTTAAAAGGACAGTCTCTTCCTTTCCTTCCTCATCCCCGCTTCTCTCTTTTCCGGCTTGCCCTTCTTTCGAATGTGAATCTAATATATTTGTTTTAACAAGCTATTAACCCAGTTAGGTTCTGGTTGTAGGCTATCTGTGTAATGTAATTACAACATCATTTCATTTGTCAAAGTCTTTGCTTGTTGTTAGACGCTGCCAAGTTTACTACAACTCACAGCAACCATACGAACCACAGATCTGAACCTTGCCCTCTCCTACACCGTCGTCATGTTCTCCGTCATATGCCCTTGTTGCTGTCATGTTGTCAGTCTGTCTCATTGAGAGTTTTTCTCTGGCCCTCCACCTTTCCCAGCATGATGTCTTTTTCCAACAACTAGTCACTCCTGACAAAATATCCAAAATATGTGAGACAAAGTTTTATCAACTTTGCCTCTAAGGACCACTATCACTGCACTTCCTCCAAGATTTTGTTGTTGTTGTTATGTGCCGTCGAGTCGTTTGTGACTCATAGCGACCCTATGTACAACAGCCCTAAACCCTTCTCTATCCTGTGCCAATCTCATTGCCTCTGACACACCCATCCCGATTACCCCAGTC